CCAGGGGCGGATGCCGGCGGTGCGGTCTGAGCCGGAGGCCTGGCCTCGGGCTGCAGGGGCAGGGTTCGTGGTCACGGGAAGAGGCCTCGCCCCTCCACCCGCCGCCCCTGCGGTCACTAGGTGGGTCTGGTCCTCGCCCCACATCCCCCTCTTCGGCCTCAGTCAGGGTAAGGCAACCGCCACGACCATAATCCCTCGGGCTCTTTTATTCAAGGTAGGAGGAAAGGAGGGTGCAAGACCTGCCACCACCAGTCCCAGGGGCTGGAGGTCCAGGGCAGGGATGCCGCGCCACTCCGGGAAGGTTCCTTTCCTCTGTCCGGGTCCCATTCTCATGGCCACTTTCTCAGAGTCCCTGGATCTCGCTCTCTCTATCTGCTCCCGCCCAACCAAGGCTCTAGTCTCATATCTGTCTTCTGGTTTTTGAGTCGGAGTCTCGCGCTGTCCCCGAGGCTGGAGTGCAGTGGCACGCTCACCGCCACCGCAGCCTCGACACGCCGGGCTCAGGCGACCCTTCCACTCCAGCCTTCCAAGTAGCTGGAACTACAGGTGCGTGCCACCATGCCAAGCTAATTTTTTTATTTATTGCAGAGACGAGGTCTCACCAAGTTGCCCAGGCTGGTCTCGCTCAAACCCCTGGGCTCAGGCAATCCTCTCGTCTCCGCCTCCCAAAGTGCTGGGATTACAGGCGTGAGCCACCATGGCCTGCTGTCTTCTGTCTTCAAAGTGCTAGACCTTTCTCCCTTGGAGTGTGTCCCTCTCTCGAGTTTTCTGTCTCTAATGGATTCTCTGAGCATCTCTGTGTGAGACGTTGGGGTATGTGTCTCTCTCTCTCTCTCTCTCTCTCTCTCTCTCTCTCGTCTCTCTGTCTCTGTCTCTTCGGGGTCTCTGTCTCTCAGTCTCCATGTCTCGGGGTCTCTGTCTATCTGATTTCCGGATGTCTGTCTCTCTCACTAGATTGGGTCTCTGGCTCCGTGTCCTGGTCTCTGTCTCTGCTGTCTCTAGGTCTCTCGCCCTGCCTCTGAGTCTCTGTCCATCTGGTGCCCCTATACCCGTCTCCGCGTCTGTGTCACCGGCTCGGGTCCGTCTCGGTTCTCCGGCCCGCCCCGGGGCTCCACCTGGTTTCCGCCTCGGTATCTGGTCTCTGTCTCTCGGACTCCCCCCCGCTGGGTCTCTCCCCGCGTCTCTGTCTGGCTCCTCCTCGGGGCTCTCTGTGTCTGGCCACCTGCTCGGGTCTGCGTCCGTCTAGGTCCGCCCGCGGCCGCCGCCCTCGGGGCCCCTCACCGCGTCGCGGCTGCTCTCGGTGCTGCTGCCTTCTCCCGCTTCTTCCTCTTCTTCCGCCTGCTGCTCGGCGGCTCGGAGGCTCGGAAGCTCCGCCGGGGCCTCGGGCGCCTCCTGCTCGCGGGGGTCCTCGGAGTGCCCCCGAGGCTGGGCGGCCCCTCGGGACCGG